GGAGCGCCGCTGACCGTGGGCGCCGGCTTCGGGGCCTGCTGGTTTCTCGACAGAGCTTCTGCTTGAAGACCCCCTCTCTCCTCACGCAGCTGCGAGCCTGTGCAGGAGAATTAGAAACGCTCCCTCGGGGCGCGGTGGTCGCTCGCGTGTGGCGGTGCGGAAGCGTCGTGAGTTCGGGCCGAGTGCGGGGAGGTGGGGGGTGGCCTCCCAGGGCGGGGAGCTGCCGCAGGTCTTCTCTTTTCTGTGGGCTTTTGAAAGCTGTGCTGAAGTATATCTGCTTATCTCCTGCCCTGTTTGTTAGCTCTTGTAATGAAGCCTTCGTTGGATTCGTGTCAGAATAATTAATGATTTTTTTTTTCCTAAATAAAAGTAAAATATTTATTTACATATCACTGGTGCCTCTGTTCGCGTTAACGAGTTGGATTGTACCTTCTTGCTTGCTCTGGCCACTGACTTTTCAGAGTTTAGGAAACATGCTTTAATAATTTATGCTGATTTTGCTCAGGTGAAATAGTAACTCCTTTAATCAGTAACTCCAATGATTTTAAAGATTAGAGGAAGAACAGTCTACGGAGAAGTAGATCTATTTGCATAACTTTTTAATTTTAAGTATTCTAGAAGTACAACGCTAATGTTTTAAGTTATTAACAAATAAAATACCTTTTGTTATGATTTATTAGGCTGTATTTGTACCACGTAATGGAAGGTGTTACCTCTCAGTTATTTCGTTTACTCTCTAGGGAACACTTGAAGTTATTTTTTCAATATTAGATGTTACAGCTGCTATTAAATCGTCAAATGAGACAAAATCTGAGAATTTAAGTGTGTCTAAACTAGTTTAAGTCACAACAGTCCTCTTGTTCTGTCTCTCATGCAGAAATTGTATATTGATAAAAATGAAAAAACGAATGAGGCTTCATTTTATTTAATAAATCTTGATTAAACAACCTTTTGTGCAAATTCCTGAATCCTACAAAGATTTGTTACACCATCCTCTTTTCAAAATGTTTTTGAATATTTTAAATAATACTTTGCTCAACTAGTTAACGGAGACTAACGTCCCTGTGTTTAAGAGTTCAGCATGCACAGAAGTTGAAAAGAAAATACAGTTTGGACTGATAATTGCATGTATGTTTTAGATATATGGTGTTGCTGTTGCACTTGGTACCAAGATTTTATAGAAAGAACAATCTTAATATATATTCTTGCTTATGCTCTCCTCTGCAATAACATTTGTATTAACATCAAATATATTAGGACTGACTTTGAGGTTAATAGATTAACTCTTTAGATTAACTTTAGACTACAGAAACAGATTTTTGCGTGTGACATTTAAACAGCGCATGAAAAAGTCCTAAATGTATTTTATCTGCATATTATTTCGAATTCAGCAGTGCAACAAAGTCTCAATCAGGGCTGTCAGTTTTGCTGTGGTAAACGTGTCCAAATACATATAAAACCCCCTGGTTAGGTTCTAGTATTGGTGAAGACAAGTTTACTGTGACCAGTTTTAGGAAAGAGGCTGAGAGGACTAAAAAAATACCGCCCTTTTGCTGGTTTTTATAGGGTTTGCTTGACTTGCATCATCCAAGAGGCGGTGAGGTTTGGGTCATGTGGATGTGGAAGCTGTACACCTAACCCACCCCCAAAATAAAAAACAACCAGCAGAGCTAAAAGTAACCTTAAACCCATTCTCTGTCATCCTCCTGTCTCAAGGCACAATAAGCTATTATTAACACAACCCTGACGGATGTTTGCCGAACCTGTTCCTAAAGCCTTGAACGCAGATTCCACTCATTCCTCTGGCAGTCTAGTCCTTAACTATCATTTTTTGAATGTCTAGATTAAATCCCTTTTTGCTGCAATTTAGCCACCTTCTTTAAAGTGTCAAAAGCTAGTGTTCCCTGTCTTTCTGTAGTGTCCTTTTACATAAAATAAGACTATTACCATATTTTTGTTCAGTCTTATTTTTTGATTAAAACCAAAAATTATTTTTTTAATCAGAGTTCTGAACCGTATGATCTTTTGTTGTTGCACTGTTCTAGCTCCTATCCGACCTTTGCACAACTTCTCGAAGTTACCTTGATGAGAACACATCAGATTATGCATTTCAGTAGGATCTATGCCTCTTTCAGCCTCAGGACCTTGTTGACATGTTCTTGTGATCCGCTCTGCCTGTTGGTTTATTTTTTTGCCGGTTTATTACAATATTTCTTTTCTGTGCGGTTGATTATTTCTTGCCAAGTGCAGAACTTTGCATTTGTGTGTACAGAATACCCACACCACACCCCTCCCCACCCCCCGCAAGGATTTCAAACTCTAATCTTGACTTCTATTCTTTGTAGTACCCTCAACCTGTCAGCTGAAGGTTTATAAAACCAGAATCTCCAAGCCTTTACCCAAAGCTATTACAATACGGAGGTGTGTGAGAAATTTTGATACAGACTTACAGTTCAGTAGTAAACCCCTGATAGTGATCCCCTGCATACAACCGGTTTTGCACCAGATTTATGTCATTTCTGTCCAGATCGAATTTCCTTATCTTCCTTATGAAAATGTCAGAGGAACAGAATGTCAGAGCCTCGCTGAAGTGAAGATCTTCAGTTTATTTGTGTCTGTGGAACCATAAATGGAAATTGGGTTGGTTTGATAAGTTGTCATGAACAAATCATATTGGTTGTTATTTATAATTTGGTTATTTTCCAGGTACAAATATTTCAAATTTGTCCAGGAATTTTAATTTAAGTTGGCTGGTTTCTAATTTCCTGTTTGTTTGTTTAAAGAAAAATACTTTGTTTGTCCTTTTGTAGTCTCTTGAAACATCTTCTAGTTTTCAAATAGAAGATTGTTTTATACCATTAGCTTCTGAAATTTGTGGTAAAGTTTGATTAGGAAATGGTAATAGGCATTTAAAGAGAAGAAATGTTTAGCCCAGATATTCATATGTAAACACCAACAAAGACAGAAGTCCAATACTGTGTGCCTGTAAATTCTTTTTTGCCTGTCTTGTATGTGAGACACCTGAAATAGGTTTTTGATGTTTTTTCTGGGCTCTGTGATTTTCTTTTTCCTGCATAGAAGATGATTCCAGTTTCAGCAGTGCTGACCAGTCTGTTGACAATCCCACACTGAAGCATAATGGAGGACCAAACACTAGCTATTTCATTCTTCTTTTACAGCCTAATGCGGTTGGTATACTCCATGCAGCTTTAACATTACTGGGCTCTGTCATAGTGCAGTGATATTCAATGTTTTTAGAACAGAGAGAAATGGTGCTTGCCTTTTTTTTGATAAGGAGGCCCCTCGGTTAGAGCATTCACCTAGAGTTGAATGGGCTGTCCCAGTTTTCTCCTCTTCACACTGCCACCCATTTGTCCATATCCTCCTCTCAAAGCCTTCTAGAAGAACAAGATGGTTTAAGGAAAGGGGAGGGCTTGGGGCTACTAGAAGGTCACCTCCAAACAAAGTATATCCAATTAAACAGGGTGCTGTCTCATTTGAGACACATTGCTCTTCCATGTCTTTTTATCAGCAAAGCTGTATGCATTTCTCTGCCTAACATACTGGTCGGTTAAAAGCTGATTTATGCAATATGTGTTTTCACTCTTAACTTTAGGCTTTTGTTTCCTTCCGAAATCCAAGGTTCTAATACAGTAATCTGGATTCTACTTTGGGTGTTGACTACATGAAAGCTAGTTGTTACAGCAATAAATGATGCAATAACTCAGTTCCTGTTTGGATCCGACCCTTTTTTAAAGACGGTGAGACACTGGGCTGATTAACTGAAATCAACAGAAGAGTGAGTCCCTTTTACTCCGAAAGGCTCGGAGTCTCATCCCAGTTCTCATGTTACATTGCCGGTTACTAGAAATTCATGCTTTGCTTTTAGTAATTCCTGATATCAGTCTGACTGTATTCAAACCTCTGACCAAACTTCTGTTTAAAATTTATTAGCTGGTATGTTTGCTGCACTTTCTCTGTTCTGCAGACAAAGCAAACATGAATAATACCACACGTTTTCAGTGAATGCCTGACAATTGGTACATAGTTTAATGTGCAGCACCACTATAAAAAATAATTTTTGCCACTCCAAATGTATAGTTTTCTTTTTGATGTAGTCTTGATATACTCTATGATGAGCAGGCAGAAGAAGGTTGTAGAAAGGAGTTTTTGATCTTTTAAGTAGCCCTCATGATTCTACAGAACAGCAAGGGGAGGAGCGTAATCTCGTAAATCAAACACAAATATTTTACTTTATTTTACTCCTGAAAGTATATGTACATGCTAGGAAATGGCTATTGAATTTTTAGTGTAAAATTAGATCATTAAATGCAGGATGCTTTTGTTTGTTTTAAACCTGATTGCCCTAAAAATAGCAGTTGATTCATCATTAAAAGACAAAAATATATATTGGCCCCATTACTGTACAAGCACTGAAAGAATATAAAGGAATATTTCATGTGATCTTTCTATTATCAAGTTGGTGGCAC